TGGTTTTAAATAAATTAATCATTATGATATAATCAAAAGATAAAAAATGTATTTCAAAATAAAATATGTGATGGGTTATTCTGTTTTTTTTTTTGCTGATTTTTTCACTGAATGTTGTTACAGTGCTATATAATTCATCCACTTAGTATATTTTATCAGGTCTTATATCTTTATTTCTGAGTAAATGTAACATGTTAATTTATATTTTGTAAGTAACTGTCTCTCTTGATGATTTTATCAACGTTTGGAAATTTCATCAAAGGAAAACAAAGAAGAGAAATATATTGTATTTCTTTTGTCCTTAGGTACCAACAAACATCCTTGATACACACCCACACACAGTATGAGTCATAATAATTCAAAGTATAATTTTTTAAAAGACATAGTTACTGAGAGGATGCCCACTTAGCCTGTAAATGAGTAACAGACACTTTTACCTTTGGAATTAACAGGGAGCATAATCTGTAAGAAGTTACAAAACTTGTTCACTGTAATTCCACCTTAGTTCATTACATGAAACCTTTTTCCTTTTCTATTGGAACATGGCCATTTTTGTGAAGCGCTGCATGTATATTTGATGAATACGTAAGTATATATTTTTATTGATTCTGTGAACAATTTCTTGTCACCTGTTTTATTTCTTAATCTGTGTTGTGCAGGAAGTGCCACTAAGATGTTTCATACACGTCCAAAGGACGCCTAGAAGATGATGGCTGTGTAATTACATAGTATATCATAAACGATGTAACTCGGGCACAGCTGAAGATTACTTCAGTTTTGAATTAATCTGAATGACCCCAGCTTTATTGCTGTTGCGTTTCTAGAAATGATAAAATGTCAAGTCTTTAGAAATCAAAGGACAGAGCCTAAACAATCTGACATGACAAATGCATAGTTTCTCTGACTTGTTCCATATTCTGTGAACTTTATTACCAACTACAGTCTTTTACTGAGAAACTCTTGTCTTAATGAATGTGTCTTCCACTTTACTAAAGTGTATTTCTGCTGTGTAAAAAACAGAAAATTCATTGCTCTGTATAGTTGTGTCTTATGTACTCTGAACCTCAATGCACAAAAAAGATGTAAGTAGTGAATCACTGTTTTACTTCTATTGTACCTAAAGTTTGGTTGGGCACGTTAGTGGAATGCTATTGAGCCAATCTTTTCTGGACAATCCTACTATTTCAATTTATCACAAGTTTTTCAATGCCATCAGATGATAATGAAATTTCTGCACATGTTGTATGCTGACATCTTTTTAAAAAAACTTGTATTTAACTTATGTTGATAAAGCACTACAAAGAATAGCTTTCTTCACATTTATTGTTACTGGCCTCATAAAATGTGCTTTTGTAAAACATAAAGCTCATGTCTTAGCATATTGCCTTGAAAAGAAAGACTCCATCTGTAGTGTGCATTATCTGATGTACTCAGGTTGCATTGCAAAGTTTTAAGAATTCTTTGACACTGGAGGGTCTCAATTCCGGCAAACTCTCCACCTTCACTAACCATAATTCCTGAGTGATAACACTAGACTAGATTGTTTCCCTAAATGTTTTTATTCTAATTTTTGCTTTCAAATGTTCAAATGGAAAGCCAAGTCATAAACCAAAGACGTAACTTGAAGTTGCTCCCCTTGATCGGATAGCATAAGCAGAAATATCCCAGCTTTTTAAGTTAGATGCCCATATTTTCTAAAGATTCCATTCAACACCTCCAGCTCCATCCCACTCCAAAATTGTACCACCATCACCACCACATACTGCCGTCGATGATTGAAAACTGAAATCCATTAGACTTGACAATTCCTTGTCTCTCAAATCTCTGCTTTGAAATCTCATCTTTCGGACACATACATGTATATATATATATATATATATATATATATATATATATATATACACACACACATATACATATATACATATATTTACATATATATATATNATATATATATATATATATATATTCATAAGCTTCCTAATTATATATCCTGATAGAGGAGGATTTACAGTTCTTTATTCTGTTGCTCTATTGCTCTTTTTTATTAGGAAAAATCCAAGACCTCCCCTAACACTTATTAATGCACCATGAATTTGGACCATGACCAATCCTACTGTAGACGCAAGGATTTTATTGTTTCTTCAGTCTCTTTATCGCTGTCACACAATGAGAGGCGAACAAGGTGGAGATGTTTCTGATAAATCATATTTCTATTTAATAAACATTAAGAAAGGAAGAAAAAAGGAAAACAGCTCACATATCTGTGTCTTGTCCTTTTTCTTTGTAATTTGACCCTGAGAGTTTAGTACAACCTTAAATAACTGTGTCACATGCTTTCTTGCCACAAGAAACATGAATTAAGGCATCCTCATATTTGTTAATATCTCAGGAGTGCTTCAGTAGGATAAGGGTTTAATATGGCTACTGGGAAATACGTGTGCTGTGTAGAAAACTGGTTGCAGAAGTCACATTGGATTCTGCTTATATAATCATGGCTGTTTGAACTCAGACAAATTCCTTTTAAATAGCTGTCTTTACCCTGCTTGTAGACAATGGGCATAAAATGTAGCCTATGATTTTGATCTTTCTCTGTGCTCCGTTTGCCTTCAGTTCAGGCCCTGCTTTAAGTTCTCAATCATTGAGCATCTCCATATGACAACCACTGTGTTAATTGTTTAGGGAATAAAACCTAAAGAAATATAATCTTAGCCTATGAGACATCATTAGCTTGATCAAGTAACATGACTTCTTAACCCAAATTATTTGTAATGTCTATATAACATTTCAATATTGCCCCTTGGAGTTATTTTTTGTCTACCTTATTTGTTATTACTTAAACGTGTTCTTCTGGAAAGCTTCCTCATATCCCCGCTGAGGACAGGTATACTATCAATTGCATGTAGAAAAGGAATTAACTACACAAGTATTTTATACCACTGTAAAACATACTTTGTGTTGTTTACATAGAACCAAACAAATTTTAGGTAAATATTTAGGTGTCTTGAGACTTAATATTTTATGTCCCATTGAGGTATTGTTCATTGGATGTAAATAATGCTAATTTTTACATTATAAGAAAAAATGGGGGCCGGCCGAGTGGCACATTGGTTAAGAGTTGGCTTGGGACACCCGCTCTAAGCAGCAGGGCCCCGGTTCGGATCCCATGTAAGGACCAGTGATGCTGTGCCCTCTACAGCTAAGATGGTGAACAACAGCTCCACCTGGAGCTGGGCTTCCAAGAGTCGCCGGTGACGGCGAAGGCTGTAGCCTCTGCTGCAGTGGGCTGTCGTGAGCTACCGTGAGTGGCCGGCAGCCAAAAACAAAACAAAACAAAACAAAAAAAACAAAAAAAAGAAAAAAAAAAAGAAAAAATGGTGTGTGTGTATATATATATATATATATATATATATATATATATATATATATATAGTTTTGGTTTTTTTTGTGTTTTTTTTTAATTGAGTGGAAGAGGAGGAGCGGATGGCAAAATTTAAGCATCACCAGGGCTAATGAAGTTACCAAATATTGAAACTGATTGTGAAAGAACTGTGAGGCCTCTGCAAATAATTGGGAAGACAAAAGAAACTATTTGGCAGAATCTCCATGAAGTGTCGACTGATGCTTTTCTCATATTTACTAAAGCCAATAGCTGTAATATTGCACTCGTAATTTGTTGAATGCATTTCACCATTCAAAAAACATATTAAAGGCCTTTTCAATTTAATTTTTATACATGTAACTAGAATTCTAAAACAAATTAATTACCTTGGTTGCTTACCACTTGGGAAATGCAATCCAGAATTAATTAATAGTCATTTAGACTAAAAAGTCAGTATCAAAATGTAAACTTTGTATTTCATTTTTAGTTTTGCATTGTTATGTCCTTGTATTCTCTTCCTTTCCTTATTTTGATTGAACAGGTTGATGTTTAATCCGTTTACTTTGATGAGATGTCAGTAAAATAGCTATGCTATATTTTCCCCATGACATTCCTTACAGAATTTTGAAAACTCTTTTAAACAATGTATATGTTTTCATTTTTGTAGAATATTATAATTTTTCATGATTCTGGTATATTTCCTATAGATAGGGATTTTTTACGTTTTCTTAGTATGAAATTCATAGTGATGTCCATGCTCCACCTGGTGGTAAAAAAATAAGCATTTTACCTTTTTTCTGTTTTTAATGCTAAAAAACAAAATGGGGGATAGGAGTTTACATCTTAATTTTAAAAGTGTGTAAAAGTACCTAGCAGAGTACTAAGTAAAAATTTACTAAACATAAACTGAATATTAGTCTATAATGTGCTGAACTTAAATCCAACATAAATTAAAATTTTGGTTACTTGTATGTATAATCATTTTACACTTTTACACTTTATTTCTAGTGTTATGATTTATTCTAATTGAGTAAATATTCCATTCATTTTTATATTTCTATTATTATATATGTTTTATATTTATATATGTTACAAAACACAACTTAACTTTCCATAAATATTTATCATCTATCTCTATGTAGCTATGTATCTATGTACCTATCTATAGCTATCATCTGTCTATCATCTATCTATCATCTATCATCTATCTATGTATCTATCTATGTATCTATCTATGTATCTATCTATCTATTTTTCTTTCTTTCTTTCCTTATGTCTTATATCCTGCATCCTGTTGTATAACTACCATTAAATTTCATGGGTTTCCCCACCTTCACATTGATGTTAGCTACACTTTGATGCTGTTAGTATATAAAGTATTTCCTCATGGTAATTTTAATTTAACATGCTCTGCTATTTATAATGCCCAATTCAAATTTTAGAAAAGGATCTATTACTCAATCATAATCCTTAATTTGACAGCATATCATCTTTCAATTTTCCACACTTATGTTTTAAATTTGATTTGTTTTCTGTAGACTATATTTTTCCACCCTGGTACTCTTACTACATACTTAACTAACTCCACTGTCAACACAAATTACATGTGTCTCAACAGGCATCTTCCATCTGAAAGTTCCCGAATCTTCCCCTATTGGCTCAGCTATCGGAAGAATTAGAGCTGTGGATCCTGATTTTGGACAAAATGCAGAGATTGAATACAATATTGTTCCAGGAGATGGGGGAAATTTGTTTGACATCGTCACAGATGAGGAGACACAAGAAGGAGTCATCAAATTGAAAAAGGTACGTAGATAAGTTTTTAGATGGTGGACTACCCAATAATAATTAAAGAACAGAAAAACCAAAACTTGAAAATGACAGCAATTTTAATTTTCCTTCAATTAACAATATTTCAGATGAAAAAGAGCAGGTGACCATGAAACTTTCACTCCCACAGACACTTTTATTCTGTTATTTAACAGGCATATATTTTATGTTGAAACAATTAGGCCTACTTGTTCAGTTAAATCTTAAAAATTCTTACCAGAATTTAATTAATTTTTTAATTTTTTATTGTTCCAAGCTTAGATGAAAAAATTAATGTAAAAATGACATCGAGAAGTAAATTCTAAATCCACTAGTCTTGGTTTTGCCTCTTTTATGACTTTCTGAGAATATAAATATCTAATTCACATATCGGTGAGTGTTGACATCAGTGGAAAAATCCTAATGCAGGCAAGCTGTAATACTGGAGGAGTGGAAGAAATGAGAACGATAAAATAATTTGAAAGCACTGTCAACAGTATGAAATTCAAGTTGGAAAAACATAAAGCAGGGTGAAAGAATAACAGGGAATGTGGTGGATAGTGGCTATGTTCCAGTGCAGAGGTCAGAACAGGCTCCTGTGTTAGGGAGAATTACAGCAGAGACCCAAAGCAAGCAAAAGATGAGCCATGTGGAGTCTGAAAGATGTGTGTTCTGGAAGGATTGAGCAGCAATTGCAAAATCTCTGAGGTGGGAGCTTCCTGGGCCAGGAAGCCAGTGGAGCTGAGTACAGTGAATGAAGATGTCTGTAGCCGGAGATGAGGTCGAAGACACAGAGGAAGAGGTGGCCCATCATGGAGGCCAGGCCAAGAACTTGAATTAGATCATGATGTGAAAAGCCCACCATGGGTTTAGATCTAAATTATTTTTACCCTTGTGAAGCCAGGATACTCTGACTGTTCTGAGGAGAATAACGACTAAGAAGTACAAACAGAAATAGACCAGTTAAGAGACTAGAAATATTAATAGTCCAGGAAACCAATGATGGATCTATGGACCACGATCTCTCTCTATAGTGAGGTGGAGGTTGTGAGAAATTGTGAGATTCTGCCTAGATTTTAAAGGAACAGCTAAAAAAGATTTTTATAAATATTGTGATCATCTGGTAAATTACAGCAAGCATTTAAATACTTGTAGATTTGGCTTTAGTGTTGTAATTTGTTTTAATCTCTAAATAAGGAACTGCCAGGGACCATCCCTACCTGCTAAACTATTGTTCTGCTGGAAAGTAAAATTGCATCCTACAGGCTACATCTATTATCTTTAAACAGTGACTCAGGAGGGAATTTTTGTAACAAAGTTTTAAAATGTTCTATACTTTACCTACCTACCTACCTTCCTGCATACCTATCTACGTATCTGGTAAATATATTGAGTGTATGTGTGGGATGCACACATATACAGATAGATATATGACTTCATTAAACATGGCAGTGTGATTTCATTAAATAAAATAATTAGAAAATATTCAGTTCAATATAGCCCATGAAAAACTCAAAATTAATTGAAACAAATGCAGTTACCAAAAATTGATGTACAGTTGAGATACGTTATATTAGATTCAGGTGTACATCATAATGATTTGATATTGGTATATAATGTGAAGAGATCAACACAATAAGTCCAGTCCAGTTAATGTTCATCATCATACATCGTTAACACATTTTTTTTCTTGTGATGAGAATTTTTAAGTTTACTATCTTAGCAACTTTCAGATGTGAGCTTTTCATTTTAAAATTCCACATATAAGTGATACTATGCAGCATTTGTTTTCTCTATTTGACTTATTTCACTTACTATAGTATAATGCCCTCAAGGTTCATCCATATTGATGCAAATGGCAAGATTTCTTTCATCATTTTTTTATGATTGAATAATATTGCACTATATATAATATATATATCATTATCATTAGCACATATATATAATATAGTGCAATATATATAAATATTTCAATCATATATATATATATATATATATCTATATATATATATCATGTTTTCTTTATCCATTCATTTGCCGATGGGCACTTAGGTTGTTTTATGTTGTTTCCATATCTTGGCTATTTTAAATAATACTGCAGTGAAGATGGAGGTGCATAGTCTTTTCCAGTTAGTGTTTTTGTTTGTTTGTTTTTGTTTTTTTAATAAATATCCAGAATGGAATTGCTGGATCATAGGTAATTCTATTTTTAATTTTTTGTGGAAACTCCATTCTGTTTTCCATAGTTATTGCACCAATATGCAATCCACCACAGTGCACAAGGGTTCCTTCCCTTTTCTCCACATCCTCGCCTACACTTATTTTTTGTCTTGTGGATGACAGCCATTCTAACAGGTGTGAGGTCATATCTCATTGTGGTTCTGATTTGCATTTCCTAGATAGTTAGAGGTGTTGAGCATCTTTACATGTTGGCTTGCATTTCTTTAAATAGAGTTTATTTTTTATTTTTATTATTTTAGTGAAAACTGTATCTTGGAGAGATCATTAGGTATCCTGGAAGAACTAGATGTATTATAATAATAAATATGTATGTAAATATTAATACCAGTGTTTCAGTTTCATAATGATCTTAAAATTGCTTTTTTGAAAACCTTTCCTTCAATATTGTAGCATGGCATAGCAAATGATTTGATGTAAAACCAAATTCATATAGGAATTATGTTCTGAAGTATACTAAATGTATTTAGAAAGTGCAAAAAATGCCTATCATACATTTGAATATGTAGTTGTTTTTTAAACATCAGTTATTTTAATTTTTTGGCTGATATTAGCGCATGATATTCTTTGTTTTCAGAGTTTTCCTTTTTTAACTTACGTAAAATAAGTTAAAATGCTTAAAGTTCTCTGAAGCACATATTCTCATTATTGTTTTATCTCCAAAATTATTACTTGCTTTTCCATTACTATTTTCCCCTCTCTCATCTTTCAATATGTAGTGAGTGTCTAAGTGGATAAAAATGATGGTCAGGTTTATATGAGTTAAGATGAATAAAAAAATGGAATTTTTTAAAGTTTATTTTTTAACCTTAACTTGGCTTCAGTTTATGAGCTCTGCGACAGAATGCCATTTCACTGTGTCAATTTCAATTCAGAATACCATTATGAAACTTTATAAATCTCTCCAAGGCACAAGATATTGGTTAGCACAATAAAACAAAAATCTATTCTTACTCTATATTTATGTCATATTTCACTGAGTAAACTATAAATAAATAAAAAGTGCCCAATATATTATCAAATATTATAACAATAAAAACACAAAATTGGGATAATTAAACTTTTTTAAATGTTCATACCATCTAAAAATTATGAAATGACTAAATTTAAAATGAGAGTATAGGCGTTTTAAATTCAGCAATGTTTTTCTTAAAAGTGAAATTAATTTTATTTTTAGCCAATGTTATGTTTCCTATCGGGTAATTAGGGATAAATATATATTTATTGGATATAAAAATAAACATGAAATTACATGAGTTAGAAACATTTAAAGACTGACATACATAAATATTTATAGAGTACTAAGGTTTTCTTATTACTGATTGAGAAATTTAGACAATTAAACAGCGGGATGAACACTTAAATTATGCAAAAGAACAATTTAATAACTTGCATAAATTTTCAAACAGTTCTGTACCATTTCTACAAAAGTATCTACTAGGAACTAATATGTAATGATATCATAGTTAAAATGCAGAACACTGAAGCTGTTTCCCATTTATTTTAAAATAAGTAAATTTTTTGGAATTAAAAAATTACTATTTTCATGTTACTTGGCAATATTTCGTTTCAAATAAACTTTGCTGTGGTCACATTGAATCCAAAGCAGAATTATTTTTTTTTATTCTTAAACACATAGGAGATAAAATACATTATTCTTCACCAGGACTCTTTAATAAATAGGCTAAGCTTTCAACTGGTCCCACTGGACATTTATATTGTACTTGTACTCTGTTAGTCACTAAAACTCATTTTTTTTTTTGTAGTCTTCAAACAGCAAGGCAGTGAGTTCAAATGATTTGGTAGCATAGCACCATCATGTGGTTAATTTTTGAATAACTCTTGTAAAAATGAAAGTAACATTTGGAATAACTTTTTATTTGTAGCCAATCATACTCTTAATTTATTAAGCTTAAAATACTCCTAGTTTAACCACTCTGACATGCATAATTAAAAAAAAAGTGGCATTCTTTGTTTGTTTCTGCAAATAATAGGTTCCTGTTTTGATTAAAAAAAAAATATATATATATATATATATATATATATTTTTTTTTTTTTAACATCTACCTAATGTCCTTAAACAGTCTCATCAACCCTAAATAAGGCCCCAAATTGACATAACCAGTGCAGGTTGTGTGCTGCCTTGTAGACATTTCTGTGTGTTCTGCAGCCTTTTCCAATTCAGAATGTCTTAAGCTAAATTTCTCTCTTCTCCCAACTAAGGCTTACGTTTCCTGCTTCCTGGATTAAAGCTCTGCCTCCTCTACAGTTCCTTAAACCAGAACGCAGGCTTTTTCTTATGCTGCTTCCATGGCCATTGACCTCTCCTTGCCTAATAGAATGAGAAGCCAAGCCACTGATTTCTCCCGAATGAGGGTTAATATTTCCCTTATGGGTTAATTTACAACTCTCGTTACTCCTTTCCACCACAGCCATGGCTATTCTCTAGCTCTATACCTCATCCTCATCCAACTTGACTTTTCCTTATGAGTGAATGGTTGAAACATAAATCTATTCATCTTACGTTCATGTTTAAATCCATTTGTGGCTCCCACAACTAGTAAGATAAAGAAAACAACAGCATAGTTTGTATGACCATCTCCGACACACACACACACACACACACACACAAACATGCACACGCACACACACACATGCACACACACACACGCACACATGCACACATACACATGCACGTGCAACTTTACTACACCAAATTTACATCACATTTATTGCAATTTCTACCAAAGATGGTCTTC